CACCCCTATAATTCTGATGTTGGTATGCTTGAAGCTGTCCCAGAGGCTCCTTACACTATCTTCATATTTTCGGATTCTTTTTTCATTTTGCTTTTCCAGTTGGGTGTCTTTTGCTTCTTCGCACTTCGAATCTTTGACTTGATTCTTGCGCTCCTCTGGTCTGCTGTTGGGAGTCTGTATAATATTCTTGATTTCAGTCAGTGTATGCTTAATTTCTAATTGGTTCTTTATCACAACATCAAGGGTCTCGTTAGATTTCTTGAGCAATCTCTGGCGTTAACCTATGCCGCCATCTTGGTTTCTCCTCTCCCACTTAAACAATTTTTAAGAAGAAATTGAGAAACTTCATTAAGTCTCTGATGTTACTATGTCTAGCATATTGTGTGTTAAGTTTTGGTTTTTAACTGTTCCCACATTTATATAACATGGGAGTGTTGAGGACACCACTGTTTTAGGAAACTATATTTATAGGAATTTGAGGAATAGGTAAAGTTAGGAAAATTCAGAATTATATAATTTACAGGACTATTATTAAGTAAAAGGTTTCATCAGGTGGACCCTTAATTTTAAGCCTTTAAACTGAGTAAGCTAGAATGTGTGAGATTATTAGAAAATAGCTGTAGAATTTAAAAGAAGAGAGAGAGAATTGTTTCCCCTCATTGATGTGCAGAATAATGTAGTGACTCTGATGTGCTGGAGCCACATCAGCACAAGTTCTGAAGTGAGTCTAAGTTTGAATCCCATCTTCAGCATTTCCTAGTTGTGTGACTTGTCCAAGGTGCTTAATCTCTGCCTCAGTTTCTGCATCTGTAAATAGAAATAATAGCAGTACCTATCTCACAGCTTATTGGTGAAGATGAAATTAATTTTATGTGAAACACTTAGATGTATACTTGGCACATAGCCAGTGCTACAGAAGTGTTTGGCAATAATTTTTATGGCATTAGATTTCTTTTTACTTACTGTATATGTCTGATATCATGTAAGATGCTATCACATATATTTTCTTATTTAAGTAATCACACTTGTATATTGGGTTAGTGTATTCCTTATTGCATACATAAGCTGCGTCAGCCATAATGAATATGTATGTAAATTAGAGCAATATTAATCTTTGAATTGAACATTTATTGTTTTCACACAGGGACTAAATGTAATGTTGGAGGAAATATCCAGATGATTCAGGTTGAAATTCACTTTTAAAGAAAGTCCTGTTAAAATTCAAGTGACCCATATGTTTAAAATAAAAATATTCCTCCACACTAGGTTATTATTTGTATTTCCATGAGATTTTAATCAGTCTTTGTCTTAAGGCCCTTGGTACTATTTTATATTTATACATTACCTTTCATTTTCAAGCAACTCAATTCCACTTCGGCTATTAGTAAGTTTAATACCACTTTTGCAAATACAATGAAACTTCTGACAATTGTATTACTAAAAACTGATTAGAAGACGTATCCATCCTTTTGTTTTGAATTCCTTTTCTTCTGAAGGTTTGCCAGTTCAAGGAGCAGGGTCATCATCCTCATTCTTCCCTTTTCCTTTAATAATTTCCTTGAGAGATTTTGTTTACTCTTATGGCTTCAAATACTACATATGGGCTGATCATTTACAGATACTGTTTTACTAGCCGGATTACTTTTGAGCCTCCAGCTCAACCTATATAGCTGCCTACCAAAAATCTCTGCTAACGGACACCTCAGTTTCATTCTTCCCAAGGCGTTGTCCTCTCCTCCTCCCAGTTACCTAAGCCAGATTCTGGAAGTACTTCTCCACTTCTTCCTCTACTCAGTCAACTTGTAAGGAGCCTTACTTCTCAGTATCTTCTGATCACTTCTCTCCATTCCTCTTGCTCTTACCATATAGTTCATACCACTCTGATATTTGTCTGCTACACCAAATATTGTAACGATTCCTAGTTGTTCTCTCTGCTTCCAGACTCGTCCCCTTCCGATTAGTTTGCACATTGTAGCATAGTGAACAGTCAGTAAATGGTGGCTAATCAGCCTTATTTATAAATCATATTGTAGGTTTTATGCTTATTTTTCTATTGAAAGATGATAAAGGTTGTGATGGCAGTATTATTTCATGTATATATTATAGTTATGTTTTTCATGTGTATGTTATAGCTAAAATTAAACTAGTTTTAATCTGTTAAAAGGAATTAACTATTAGCAAATTTATTAGTTATAACTTCAGTTTAAAAAAAATTCTGCCATGTGAGTTATTTTTATCAAAGTGGTATGCTTCTGAGATTTTGTCAGGTATAAATATATAGTTAATAAAGATTTTAGTTCTAATATATCATTTATAATCTAGTTATTCCAGCTATATATTCCAAACATGCCAGTGTTCTTTGTGCTTCTTTGCTTTTTGCATATGCCACCTTCTTTGCATAAAATGTTCTCCCTCACTGGTCTTGGTAACAGACTCTTCATTCTTCTTATTTTCTATTTACACGTTTACTTTCTTACGTACTTATTTATTTATTTAATTTAGAGGGAGGGAAGAAAGGAGGGAGAGACTTGTTGTTCCACTCATTCATGAATTCATTGGTTGCTTCTTCTAAGTGTCCTCACCTGAGATGGAACCCACAGGTTTGGAGCATGTGGACGACACATTAGCCAATGGAGCTACCCGGCCAGGGCCTCATTAAAGCCCGACTTATATCTTAGAAACTTTCTCTTCATCCTTTCCCCACGTTCTGGTATATCCTCTTTTATTTGGGTTTCTAGAATGCTTTGTTATTTCCTTGCTTTCCGAATATCTCTTTGTTCTGCAATGATTATTTCTAATTGCATTTAGTTCCTTGAGGGCAGAAACCATCCTACTCATTTTTACACCTGAGATTTCTAATGTAGAGCCTGATCCATATACAATGGATGCTCTGAAAATGATTTTTGTTGGACTAAATTGTTGTCAATAGATTGATGTCCTTGACTGTGTATAATAGTTAGTATATGATCTTTAGGTCTAACATTTGTAACAAAGCATACAATAATGTAAAGAATGCAGTCCTATCTCTTCTATGCAATATCCTATAGAAGATATAGAGATATATGCCAGACATTGTGTTGAGGGTTTTTCATGCTATTTTATTTAATTCTCATAAACCCTATAAAGGTTTGCATATAAGGAAGTACAAGCTTAGAGAGCTTAAGGAAATTATGCAAGATTACAGCTAGGAGTGTTGTTTAAAAGGTGGAATTTTAAGATAGGTCTTTTTGATTGCAAAGTTTTTACTCTTAGTCCCAAGTATCATATTGCCACCCATATTGTAGAGAAAGTGAACCTCAAAACACATGATTTTGACTTTTAACATATGTTTTTGTGATATAACAGGTCATTATTATTACATCATTACTTTTACTATGGTATTGCTATATTTAAACTAGAGGCTCAAGGCACGAAATTCGAGCAAAAGGCTCGGCCCTCGCAGCCCCAGCTGCCTCTGCCTTCGCAGCCCTGGCTTCATCCGGAAGGTTGTTCCACTGTTTGGCCGTCTGGCTGTCTGGTCTAATTAGCATATTATCCTTTTATTATTATAGATAGAGGGAAATGCAATAATTGAGTTTAATTTTATTATATCTGAAATGTTCTTTTGACCAAATCCTGTGTCTTATCATTTTATTTTCCACATTTATAATATTTATTTTCCTCATTTATAATTTTGGGAAACTATGACTCAAAATTATCAATTTTAATCAGTAATATATTATCTTTAATGACTTTATATATTAGTTCTTTTTGTTATAAAGCTAGGAGACTCCTAAATTAATGGGACAGAGATGACTTTTAGAAACATTATGCATAATTTGCACAAAAATACGCTTTGTCTGCTACTTTTGCTAATATGTGACGAAATGAAAGGTAAACAGTGATGCAGTTTTACATGGTTTTGTACATAAAGTCTTTTACCTTAACATGTTCTAGTTTCTCTTTGAGTTAATTGAATATTCAATTAGGATTTCATTTGTGGAAAGAGCATTCTCCTTTTTCAGATGTTTGGGTATTTAATTGCTTTTATAGAAATTATTCTCATTTATATGTCTTAATACATTCTAGTATATAGTGTGCTCTTAAGTTTTTTCTCTTAAAAAGTTTAGATTTTAGTAAACATTTAATTAGACTTTTTTAGAATTTTTATTTCACTAACAAGCTTTAAAAAACTCTTATTTGTTTTAAGAATGGAATTAATTATTTCCTTTTGTTTTGTCTTTTCTGTCCTTTCTAACTTGCTTTCGTGGATATTCACACCAGGAGGACAAAGTGGTTAGAGTCTTTTTTCTGTCTAATATTATTTTTTCTTACTGTTATTGCTAATTTTACTTTTATAGCTATATTTAATTTATATACTTTTAAGTTGTAGTGCATGATCATCACTATAAAATAAGATAATTTAAGCATGCTATCTAATTTTACTGAAAAACATTTTATTATGTTACAGATAAAAAATGGATTATTTGATTCTTAAAGAAGCCTGCTTCTTTAGAATTTAGTATTTTAGAGATCTTATAGCACTTTTCATTGTGTTAAGAATTCTTTTAATCTTATCTTTTCCTAAAGTCATCATTGTACCGGTCAGAGTTTTTAAAAGAAGCTAGTATAAAAATTCAGTATTTGTAATAATGAATGAGTCACACTAACATTGAAGATGGATTTTTCTGAAGTATCAATATACAGTTGAGTATAAGCATTTAATATATTTTTCTTTTTCTTAATGTGTTATAGAAATTGGTAAGATGTCTATCTTACCTCCTCATATTAAGTGTTAGACAATTATAATTTTAAAATACTTAGGTTTAGAAGATTCAACTCCAGCCTAGGTTTAAAAATTCTGCCCATATTTGTCCTTAGAGGCCTGATTTGGATTTGCTCTAGGGACTGGTGACTTCCTGCAAACACAGATAAAATCTTTCTATTCTGATTCTTAAAAAAAAAAAGTTCAGCTTTTTCTTCTTTACCTTTTTATAGATCTCCTTGGTGTGTGTTATAGTATTTTATAATAAACGTGAGATTGATTACAGCAGTGAGTAGGAGGGCTGCAGATGGCTCTGAGAAAAAAATTGCAGGGGTTATTCTTTTCTTTTTAAAAAAATTCTGACTCTTTCTGATGAGTCAAACTAAACTTGAGGTCTAAAAGTTTTGCCAAATTCAAATTGGCATAACACCCAAAGAGGACACCGTTTAGCTGAGGTCTTCTGAGCAGTGACTCCTTTTTTTTTTTTTTTTAATATCAATTGGAGCTTTTTTATTCTCCTCAGTCTTCAGTTACTAGGTGGTGGCAAATATTGATGTGGTTTTAGAATGAAGTCACTGAGCAAAAGATCTTCAGGATTGCTTGGTTCGTTTTCTTAGTTAGAATTCCTACAGGTGGAAAAAATCAATCAAAATTTTGAGGCAGTTTTGAAGGTTATTGCTGTAGACATGTCCCAGACTGTGCATCCTCCTCAATCAAGGGCAGATGCTCTAGAGCAGCGGTCACCAACTTTTCGGGCCTCACGGACCACCAGTGGTCTGCAGACCACCAGTTGGCAACCGCTGCTCTAGAGCACCTACCAACCTTCTGCTGGCCAACCTTACTAGCTAACTCTAAAGTAGTGCCATTCACATAATTCAAAGCCTTTTTATTCAGTCTACTTATATTTATTTCTCTTTTTTTTTCTATAGCTACTTCTGTGTCTGTAGTTTTTATAATGAATTCTGACACCTATCCCAGATACTAGGTCCTTAATAATAATTCAGCTATGATTCTCATTTACTGACAAGATTTTGTAATGTAACAGTCTATATTTTATACAAAGGATTGACTAACATGAAATGATGCTAATTTTATGTGGATTTGGAACGTTGTAAATAAAATTCCATAGGTCTTTTTATGACAGTCTTTATGCAGTACTGTTCAATAGAACTTTTCATAGTGATGAAAATGTTTTATGTCTTGCCCTAGTCGGTTTGGCTCAGTGGATAGAGCGTCAGCCTGCGGACTGAAGGGTCCCAGGTTCGATTCTGGTCAAGAGCACATGCCCAGGTTTTGGGCTTGATCCTGGGAGGGGGGGCTGTGTGCAGGAGGCAGCGGATCATTGATTCTCTCTCATCATTGGTGTTTCTATCTCCCTCTCCCCCTTCCTCTCTGAAATCAATAAAAATATATTTAAAAAGATGTTTTATATCTTCACCATCTAATACAGTAGGCTCACCAGTCTCATGAAGCTATTGAGCACTTGAAATGTGGCTAGTGTGGAGAGGAATCGAATTTTTAATTTTATTTAATTTTAATTTAAATAGCCCTCTGTGGCTATTGGCAAATGAAACCCCAAGCCTGGATAACAAACATTCTATCTATGACTATTCAACCCCTAAGGCAACACCCTGCACTCATATTAGCAGAATGATGTGCATACTAGGAGTGGAGATGAAACCTGTACAGAATCCAAGAAAGATACATCTGCCAATGTCATTGTCTTATATAGCCAGGGAGGATAATGGCCCAGGGACATCTTTCCGAAGGGCAGAATCGGGGAATATGAATGACAACAACCAGGGGAGAGCCTCCTAAATAGCTGAATCTGAGACTGACAGGATAGTCAAGGCAATGAAGCCATTGTTCATGTAGGGGTTACTGTGTGCCATGGACTGTTGCCCACTATATACTTCTCCTTCTTCCTGTTTCTGAATGAGAGTTTTTGTTGCAGTGCCCTCTTGTTTCTCCATATTGTGTTTTGGGTGTGTTAGGAACAGATCATTTGTCTTTCAGTACATTGGATCACGAAGATACACACTCAACCATGATGGAAGGATTTGCTCTACCTCTGAGGTCTTGGATTCAGAGCTAGATTTTATAACTAGACTAGAAGCCTGGTGCACGAATTTGTGCACAGGTGGAGTCCCTTGGCCTGGCTGGCAATAGGGGCAGATCAGGGCCGGCCAGCTGAGGGGAGGGACCACAGGAGGTTGGCCAGCCAGCGGGAGGTTGGCTGTGGGAACATACTGACCACCAGGGGGCAGTTCCTGCATTGAGTGTCTGCCCCCCTGGTGGTCAGTGCATATCATAACTACCCACGGTCAATTTGCATATTACCCTTTTATTATATGGGATAATAACCAGTGGGGGCTGGCTGGTTTGCCCTGAAGGGTATCCTGGATCAGGGTGGGGTCCTGCTGGGGTGCCTGGCCAGCCTGGGTGAGTGACTGATAACTGTTTGCAGGCTGGCCACAGCCCCTTCAAGGTGGGGGTCCCTGCTGGGGTGTCTGGCCAGCCTGGGTGAGGGGCTGATGTTGAATGGCTGTCTTAACAGACATTTTCTACTTCTCATAATTTCCAATAGAGGGACTTGAAAAATGTGAAATTTTTAGCTTTCTTTGCAATTGGAAATGGCTTTGTGACAGAGTTCTAGCGAATGAGAGATGGAGGAAATTCATAAGGGCTTCTCGGAAGTTTTGATAAAAAGAAAGATGTAGCTGAAACTACCTTTTTTTAAAAATGATTTCTTATTGATTTTTAGAGAGAGAGGAAGGGAGAGTGGGAGAGAGAAACATCTATGTGAGAGTGAAACCTCGATCACCTGCCTTCTGCATGTACCCCACAGGGGATCGAGCCAGCAACCTGGGCATGTGCCCTGACTGGGAATTGAACTGGCAACCTTTCTGTGCATGGGACATTGCCCAGCCAACTGAGCCACACTGTCCAGGGCTGGAACTACCTTTTAATGCAAAAGTGTTGTTTTGAGCTTCAGAGGCCATTTGTGAAGATGAGGGAAAAGCCAGGAGTACTTGAGTCATTAGTCATGACATTGTTGAGCCACTGATCCAACACCATACAACACCTTTCCCCAATGTGAGAAAAATACCCAACCCAATCCGTTTCTGCCACTAGTAGTCAGATTTTCCATTACTTATAGTCAGAAGCATGCTTAATGGAAACATTGGTGGATTTGCAGTGCGCGCCAGGGAAACCGGGCAAACATCTAGAGTTGTTCTTTACAAATACAGACGTGGAGTAAAGATGTGCATGTTGATACTCAGCTGTCTGCCTTTGCCTGTATATGATGTTTGAAGTATTAGGGCCAATTAACACATCTGCTCACACATTACACATAAATTAACTCCGGTTGCAAACAGTAGATTAATATGGGTATGTTGGACTTTTTAGGATGCGTGGAACTAATAAGTGAACTAAACTTCCATGCCAAATTATTTGCCATAGGTGAGAACATGTAGTACTTATAGTCAGAAGCATGCTTAATGGAAACATTGGTGGATTTGCAGTGCGCGCCAGGGAAACCGGGCAAACATCTAGAGTTGTTCTTTACAAATACAGACGTGGAGTAAAGATGTGCATGTCTGGTGAGAGCAGAATGAAATTACAGTTTTGGGAACAAAATGATGCTCCTCTCACTGTTAGAAACAATATTATCGTTTATAAAAAAGACCACTTTAACGAGGACCTTAAATTATTCCTTTTTCTCTTTTTATAAGAATTATTAGTTCTTACCCAGTATCTCTTGAGACAATAATAAATAAAAATGTCACTCATCGTTGGCAGGTTATTAACCTTTATTGTAAAAAAAAAAATGTTACTAATGGTAATGCTGGTGAAGTAAAAGGTGTGGAAGGATGATGAATGACCTGCAGGATTTCTCACGTTTTAGAAGCATAAAGGCGACCTGTTGGGGTGCAGCTGCAGCAATGATATTCAGAGCAAGGTGCTCTTTGTTTCCACTGCAGTCTGATGCTTTTCCTGATGTAAGCACATTACCGAGCTTCCATATCCTGTGCCTATGTTCCTGCCCATCGCTATTCTCATATAGTGTTGCAATTTAGCATATACTTAAAAGAGTTTTTTGTTATCGTATCTTTGGTTGTTCCATTTCATCTAGGCAGTAGCTGCATTTTTGTAAATACTGTCTAAACAATAGTAGAGTATTCGCTTTTGCATTTTTGTTCAATCACATAATAACATGTATATGGCCTTAATAAAATTGTCCTAGAAACTGAATATAACAGCTCTGACAGGGCCAACTCCTATAATAAAATCACAAGTTTAACTACTACTACTAATCTGTTTCTTTTATTGTAAGCCTAATTGAATGACATAGACATCCTTTGATATTACTAAACTTTCCCTGCCCTCAACCCAACATGAGCAGGTGAAATAATAAAAAAATAAAGTGAGCTAATTATTTTAATATTTTTAATAACCGCATCATAAAACCAAAATTGAAGTGGGAAGATTTTAAATTTGTTACTTTGATTTAAGCTTCAATATTACT